TGTGAGAGCTAGTCGTGAGGTCGACAGGTATGTAGAAACGAAGAAAGCAATATTCTTTTTCATCTTTGAAACATCGAAAAGTATTTGTTAGCATAGGCGTGAACAGACAACGAAATTAAGAGCGTATTACGTAAACTGAGATAGTTCAGAAACACTGTACTAATGCCTTGTGATCAGTAAATGTACAGGCCAATAATAAACTTTATGGTAATGAGGACGATTTGATGGAGCGGAAAAAACTGCCACCAACAGATCCCCCACCCTCCGAGAAATGTGATTTAGAGAGGAAGAGAGCATCCCATCATTCTGTTTTGGTTGATTTTTTCCACAGCTGTGGTTGAGGCGAGACGGTAAGAACCAGACCAATAACTCTTCACAATTTTTATTCACAATTTCTTTTGCGTTTTTCTTTCAGAAGAGGCGTAGGGGCATTATGTCCCTGATCCTGACAAAGGAGAGAGTATACAGTAGACGTCCAGAAAGCCAAGAACGAGTGTATATAATACGTTGACGTTTTTAAGTAATCAAATGTTGTTTTATTCATTTGTGTATTTTCTATCTCACTATTGTCTGCACTCTTTTTTCTTAGTAAGGGCCAAACTAAAGTTGCTGAAAAGTACAACGTTCTCACTCTTAGTTTCTTGCACTTTTGTCATGTAGAAGCTGAAAAGCCGCAACGTTCTGACTACAGAAAAATTCCAAAATCTACTTCTAAAACAGTAGACACGATGAAATAAATAGAAATTTGAAAAGTAGTTATATTTTGTATTAGTCATTGTCACCACATGTTTCTCATGCACTGCATAATTCACTGTCTTATATGTCATACATGGATCTCATTATATTTGTGAATTGTAAGTGTAATCATAATTAAAACATCGGTGTAATAAAATGACACTTGCAAATGTTGTTTTTAATTTTTTAATTGAGACATAGAAATCGCCTCGTTACTTTGCTGAAACAGCATTATCTTGTCCTGAAAGAAGGGCTCTGTAGTATGTTTTTATATGCTAAGGAAGTCGAAAGGGGACCGGGTGAGGGGGGGGGGTGGAGGGTTTGATATCAGTGTTAAGTTCACAGACGTTTCCCTTTTGACTGAGTAACACATTCACTTGTTACGTTAATCTGGTCCGTATGGTCGAACCGGCGTGGAATGTCGAACTTGCTGGAATAGACTTATCAAAAGGAAATCTTACGATATACGGTCGCTTAAGCACTAGGGGGCTATCCCGAAAAATGCTGTTTTGAGAAAATCGAAGGTAAAGTTTTTGGACCCTTGTTCAGTTTCTTTAAAAGACAAGGAGAATTTTCTCCAAACAAATATACACACCAATGCAACCAAACTTTTCTTGTTTGTAGGGCAATGCCGACTTTTGGTGCAGTCAAGATTTCTGGAAACCCCCGAAATCTGGGTTAGCCCGCTTGTCTTTAAAAGCGACCATAATATAGAGTATAGATACCCCCCCCCCCCCGAGTACACAACGCACGAAAACCTAGAACAAAAAATTAGCGGCCTAGATCTATATTGTATTCAAAGTATTTTTGCGCCCTGTGGACACAGTTTAGATTATTTAGGAGGCAAGTTGCTGTAACTTACCTATTCAGGCTAATCCTGGCTGTGTGGAATACACACTACTTGAACGCGGGAAGACCAGAGTATTCGATGACATAGTCATCTCATTGAACAATCGAACACATAATCGTTAGTGTGGAAGGGTGAAAGGTGAAGGACGTACGGAATTTACTTCAGACGCTGTTGCTGAAATTTCAGAATGAAGGGAACTTTTAAAACACTCATCTGATGGGGTGCTGGACATACACATACACTCGCACACACACACACACACACACACACACACACACACACACACACACACACACACACACACACACATACACACACACACACACTCATATATATATTTATATATATATATATATATATATATATATATATATATATATATATATATATAAAAATAATTTTCCCCAGTGATATTGGATTAATTATTACAACAGTTACTGTCTCCTGACTTGGAGGATTCAGCTTTGGCTAGCTCCTGCCCCATCCCACCACCCCAAGCTCAATATCGATCTTAGGAGGTTGTGTCAAACGGGCGTCAGCTCAAAACTAGAAAAACATAGTTATGGGAAGAAAGATCATACACAAAAAAGATGTGCTGACCCCACGTCATAGGCCAGAGCTAAAAATGGTGTCCACCTTCTTCAATATATATACATATATATATATATATATATATATATATATATATACATATTGGCCCCAAGAGCAAGTATAGACAGAGGGGAGATTTAATAATTTTTTGAGAGAGTAAAGTTTTAATAACTTATCTATATTATTCTTGTATCGCTTCCTCTCAGCTCATTGTTACATGTGTGTGTGTGTGTGTGTGTGTGTTTGTTTGTTTGTTTGTTTGTGTGGCCTAGGGGGAGGGTGGTGGTGGCGTAAAAGCATATCTTTAAAAAAGACAAAGAAAGGACAAAGACGATTTGTATTTTCCTAATTGAGATCTCTATTGAAATGTCTGATCCTATTAGATAGTAGTTCCGGGTAACAATCCTTTTAGTACAGACTGGTTTTTATGAAAAGCGGTATGACGAACAAAGTATGATTCATGTTTCTGTGTCGACCTGTTAGATTACGTATAGAAGCAGAGAACCTTGAAGACCTGATCAAGCAGATGACAAAAACCAGTGTGGTATTCTTGGGGGATACTGACCCAGGGCCCCTGAAGAAGGGGAAAACCCCCCACAACAAGTTGACTGTTAATCTGTGATTTCTTTTCAACCCTTGTAGCAGAAGACTGGACAAGATAGTGATAAGAATGAACCCCCTAGCTTTTGTAGGGAAAAACTACATGTATATTGAAACAGTAAAAGTCATGCATGTCTCAACGATTATTGGTCAAGGTATGAAGATCAGGACGTCGATAATATATTTGTAATGTTTTGAAGGATGTTTGAACAAAACTACAGAACTGGGAACATGACAAAACGTGATGTAAGCTTTTGGAGAGTTGTATAAAAAAAACCCCCATCACTTAATATGGCCATTGTTAAACAGAAGAGTGACCACTACTCACTTAAAAACCCACGTGTATCATTTTAAGGCAATTTTTTTCTTTTTTCCGTGTTTAGAAACGAGTCTTCTCTCATTGCAACTTATTTTTTTCCAGCTCATCTGAAACAGTTCTTTTACAAACTAGGTACGCACGAGACAGCTCGGGTTTCGAATTTGATAGCTTTTTTTATCAACAGATCATCCTTACAGAGACAAAAATTCGAAACCAGAGAACTGTACAGTCAACGGCATAACGCGTTTTTTGCCATTACTGTGGAATGCATTGATCTGAGGTGTGTGTGTGTGTGTGTGTGTGTGTGTGTGTGTGTGTGTGTGTGTGTGTGTGTGTGTGTGTGTGTGTGTGTGTGTGTGTAAACATAGAGGGAGTTTATAACCTTTTCGAACCTGTGTGTCGAACTGCTTGGCCACTGATGCCGGTGTGCTACAGCTGAAGAGCAAAACTCCAACAAAGACATAACAGATGATAAAGCAACCTACAGAATCAAAAACCAATTACAAAGTTCCAATTTGCTATCGCAATAGGAAAAGGATAGAAATGGAGGATGTCGCGTTCTTGTTGTAAATCGGTGAAGGGAAAGTTTTAAAGAAAAAAAAATCCCATCTCTTCCTTTATGCCGATGGTAAAGTCAAAGCGAGAGAAAGAGTGTCCACTATCGATCCAGCTTAAGTACATCTTGCTTGGAGCGCAATTTCTTTCTTGGCAGTTAGCCCGAGGCGTTACAATCACAATCTCGCAATGAATCGACTGTTATTATCACCTTCACTGGCTGAACCTTGCCCAAGGAATCGCTCACACGGATGCCATAGGAGGTCAATAGGTATAGGCTTACATCTGCGCTCAAACAAAAAATTTACAGGAAATGTTAAATGTCTTTTAACGTCAGTTCATCATCCTTTGAGTGTGATTGATTTGTTCGAATCAGTTCACATATCTATCTGACTATGCTATCTAGCAACAAAAGGCGACAAATAATAATTTGTGATGAAAAGACAAACACGTGTTTGGTTCTGCTGACCTGTCCAAGATTTATTCGTTTCCTCTGGAAACTGTTTTAAAAACAGATTGTAGTATTAGTGATTACGGGACAAACAAAGACAAACGATAGACTCAACATAACGCGACCTCAGTGCTTTCTTGTCGTATCTCCATTTTTGTAACAGTGAAAATCTGGTTTCTTCTTAAGCTCACTCTTTGTTATGAACTGTTTTCACTGTTATTAATAATGAAGATACGACTAGAAAGCATTGAGGTCGCGACAATCTTACAAAAATACAAATTCCAGGACCATCTAGAAGCTAGGCTCGTCAAAAGCTCACCCCTGTTGTGATTCCAAATCCAAAGATACATAAAAAGAATATCAACATGTTTCATAGTGTGGTAAAAAATTCGTGGCTCAACTTGTCGTCCAATATTTCATAAAGCTCTCCAGTTTTTGCACAATGACTTTATCAATTTGTCTTCACTGATCAATATTGTTGTAAACATCTGCTAGCTATATTCTTGAAAATTCCTTAATAAATGCTTAAAAAAAATAACAATCAAAGAGGGTGGTTTCTACCGATTTTAAAAGGTTTACAGCTGAGGCAATATCGCAATAAAGCAAGCCCACAATTTTTTTCTTTCTAATCGCGACGTTATGCTTATTGAACACATGTTTTGAGAACCTCTAGTGCAAACGTGTGTTCACTTTAAAATGATTCTAGTTACAAGTTTTGCCACTAAAAAGTGTCATTGATGAGCTGTGACGTAGGCCATAGGCGTATGCAAAGTGAGAAGCGTGAAGTGCTGTAAACAATCCCATTTTTCGTGTGATGGAGATTTTGAAGGAAACGTTTTAAATCTAGCATCAATTATTGGGGGAGGGGGGGGGGAAGGGAATATAATTACGTAAAGACAAATTGTTATAAACTGCTTTGAAAAGTATGGGGCACATTGATTCACCGTTAAAGAGATAATTGAGATAAGTTGCGCCACGAATTGTTGACTGCACTATAGTACTAAGCTGTTGGTGGACAAACTAGACGGCGACTTATGGGAAAGCAAAACGAGATTAAATATTAGGTTTATCTTAGGAGAAAGATCCTTTTTGGTACCACCACCTCTTTCTCCCCTTCGTTCGTTTTTGCTCCGTAATTAAAATGTGCCTTTCAAATTAACGCATAAAGCGTGTGCCTTAAAATTATAATCTCTCTTAATACTTTATTTATATATATATATATATATATATATATATATATATATATATATATTTAATAAAGCTTAAAGTAAAATCCTGGATTTTTATCTGTTTTCTTCTTATCCTAGTAGCTCGAGTACAGTAATTGAAATAAGAGGAATGAAGGCTCCATGGTCGAAAAACCACATCCCACGGCCTCTCCTAGTCTGAGCCCAACACTCTGGGGAATTAAATCAGAAGGCATTTCTAACTTTCTACATTCTTAGTTGCGGGTGCAGTCTATGATGATCTTCACCCCCTCCCTGCGCAGAGCTGCGTTGTAAGCTTCAATGGCATTCTCCAGGGAAAACCGATGGGTGATCAGCTGCTTAGCGTTGACTTTTCCAGTGGCCATGGCTTCAATGACCGTCTCATAGCTGAGGAGATACAACGGACGTTTGTTTGTTTTAGAAAATTGTAGGGAGGAGTATGGAAATGATAGCTGGGTGAACATATTCTGCACCAGATCCCCGACTTCGGGAAAGGGGTGGGTAGAGTTGCTCTGACCGACAACGAGAGTCATTGGAAGTCTTCAGAATCTGAATAAGAGGCCGGATAACGTCATTGTGCTATAATTAGGAAGCAAGTATACACCTTGAGAGAAGTGATTCCTTCAGTGGTTCTTTGAATGTGATGATTTTTGTTCTCCAGGTATCAGTATTGTTCTTTCAAAGTTCGGACTTCTTTCACGTGAAACGGTCAAGGCATTTCCATTTGCATTTGTGCATACATTTCAACTTGTTGAAAATAATGAAACATAAAATGTGAATTAAAAATTGTAATATCTACATTTTCTAAAGGGGTGTGAAGATGTAAATAGCGAAGAAAAACTCCCATTCTTCTAAACTAGAACCCCCCCCCCAACCCCTTGTGTAATGTCAACTCACTTGTTCGCAAATCTCGCCATGCCTCTGATGTCCAGCTCCTTCAGTGTGGCGATGACCAGGGGAATCTCCACTGTCGGTCCTCCGAACCCAATTTGCACTACCGTACCTGTGGCTCGTGTGCTCTGGGAACAGAGATGACACTTTCTTAGGTTGAGGGTAAGCCAATGATAAGAGCAATAAACTGTATTTTAACAGGTATAAGAAACTACAAAGTAATCGAATATACCGACACGTTCATGTTTTGAAGGATGGACCAAGTAGTTGACAACTGTAGCTAACGGTTTACTTTTTCACATGAGGGCCGATAAATGGAGAGACAAGTTGGAAGATAATATTGTCTAGGTCAGTTTAACAGAAGGATTTTTATCCCGACCCTCCACCTATGGTTTATAAAAACTTCTCAGTCCTTATATAATAATCTTGTAATGTTTGATAGGTTTTCCGTGTTATTTGTGATAAAAAAAGATAACCTGTAAATTTACACCTGTTCTCTTTCGAAAGAAGCAGACTACAGTAACACTTCTAGAAATGTAAGACATCGAGGGGAGATCAAGTTCTTGTCAATTTCTGGTCAGTTTGGACATTTTTTTTCTCGTTTGAATTTTTTTTTTGCTCAACACCGTGTATGTCCTTTCAAAAACACTTTTGTAAGTGGATGTTATGGAAAAACGTTGATTAAAGGCACAAAGAATGTAAAGTTGCAGTTTCCAAGGACTTTTAAGCTAGGGAAGTCACCAAGCTTTGGCGGCCATTTTCTCGCTACTCTTATTTTTGAAACAAGGAGACCCCACCTCCTTCAATTGCAAATATCTCGACTTCTATTCAAGATAAATGGACACTTTTTTTCATCGAAAGCAAGGGAAATAAATAGCCTTTAAAGAAATACCAATAACTCCATATGCCAAACAATTGACGAGCGCCTGGTTCCACAAATGCTCTGCGTTAGTACATAGCAGAGGTATGATGTGTTATTTGCATCGTTGTCAGATGTTTTACCCGGCGGGTGGATACAGTAAAAAGTAAAGTTGTTCTCGCATCCGATCGGGACATTGGAGACTGTGTTGTTAGTGAGATAACTTCCTGGGCCTTCGGCATACTGTGGTAGGGTGGCTAGCTCCTTTCCTTCACTTCCCCAACTTAAAGTCAGGTTCTCATTACTGCTGGGTGGGCAGAAGGAGGCGAAAAAACATCCGTGTCCGAACCGAGGCTCGAACCCGAACTTTCTGCTTCGTAGACGAGGGCACTAACCGCTCCGCCACCGCACCCTCTTGGAAACAGTACTTTGTGTTATAAATCATCAAAGTCAGAGTCACATTTGCATTATAATGGACCGGGTACGAGAGCAGCCAGTTACCCACACTGCACTCCTCAATTTAGTAATGCTCCGTATTACGTGATTTATGTGATAAATGATATATAACATAGTTATTACTTCGGTAATCATTGAACTAAACTCGATGACAACCCGGAAAAAATAAACGACTTTTTAAGGGTTAACAGGAAGGACGCCACACTCATTCCATGACAACACGTGTAGAACTTGCGACTTTTCAAAAAATTCTGATATGGTTTTAGTGATAAGCTTTTGTAAAAAAAAAGAAGAAAAATTCGGTGATTACAATAAAAGGGAAGGAAGAGGAGAAAGAAAGAAGCCAGAGTTGATATCCAAATGTGAATATCACACAAGTGCATCTGAGCATAGATCTAGATATCTAGATGTTCAAGAGTACTAATCTACAAATAGAGTGTTTTAAGTACCTACTTTTTTTGGGGGGGGGAGTGGAGGTAGTGCTGCCTTTAACGGGAGCTTTACTTCAATGGGAGTCATCTTTAGAGTCTCACTTACTAGGTTATAAAAAACTATTGCACCCTGTACAGAAATACACTCAATTTAGTCTGGTTCCATACCCCCGAGAGCACGACTTGCGGAGATAGCAGCTATGATGGAAGAAACGAGTACAATGTTCCCAACCCTCAACAGGCGCGTTAATCATTAATGTTCCAGAACTGTAAGTAGACATTTCTCGTATCGTCCAAGCTTTAAAGATACTACTAACATTGTAACACAAAGCAGGCTGTTTTCCCGCGGGAATTATTTGCATAGATACCGTTAGAGAGACGAGTGTATCATCATCTACAATGGTGCCCCGATTGTCTGGTTTCAAGACTATCAGGTAGAATTTGTATATAGGAAAAAAATATGGTATAATTTTCCAACATTGATGGTAGTTATAACTTTTTCTGTCGCATGTTTTCAAAAAGCCAACCAGACAAATCTGGATCCTCGTAAAAGAGGACCTATCGACGTTAAACTGGGGTCGGTGGAAAAGGGGGTGAGGGCAGAGAGTAGTTCAGGAACTGAAACCAGTTTGGACTGAGGAAGATGGGTAATCTTTGCCGTCATACATTTCTGTGACACTCAAACTCTGGAATCTGTGTTATTTTCCAACGAATGGAGTGGAGGACAACCAATGACCGATTTTTCCGTATTTAAATATCAAGAAATGGTAGTATGTTGAATGCTATCGACGGAATAAAAAATAAAAGAATGCTCGGCATTATTTTAAAACAAATTATACCTAAAACTGATATGTCCTCAGTGACAGGGATGAACCCAGTTATCATTACCAATTTGGTATGATTCCGATCTTGTAGACCGAACCAGATGAACAGACGAATGAACATCTTTAAACCAAATAAACAACAGATATCGCGAGCAAGATACGTGAAAGGATGGTTTCCATAATTTACTATTTTCACAGGCAACAGTGCTAGAGTTCCTGTAATGCCCATTCCGAGCACATTAAAGAATTCACTCTATCCTTTATGAGAAAACTAAGATCGAAACAGAAAACAGCCTTTATTCTCGAGGAATCACGCAGGCTATTTGAGATGTTGGACCAGCTTCACTTTCAGTGCCAGATTGTATTACACACCAGGGCCAATTTTCAAAAGAAAATTTGGATGGCAGAATCATTGAATGGGTTATACGTATATAAGGCAAGAACATATTTTATAAGAATATAGCATTGCATAAATAGAACGTCATAACTTCAATTCCAGACCGTGGCATGCAAGACTGCAGTTCCCGAGAACCTTACTGAGCCTAGCTTTTTAGCTCACCCGAAGGTAACTATGTACTTGATGATCGGCAGAAACAGATCTATATATTTATAAAGCAGTGTTTATCACTTTAAAACATCCAGTATTTCTGTATTCCTCAGGAATTCGGGACGAAAGGTATCACTGTGATTTTGTGCAATCTCCGATGGGCACAAATTCATGCCCAAAAACTATCACTTACGTATATAGCATTGCTAGACGAGGTGTAATGTCCACTACATTCTATGGACACGTCTGCCTCCCGTCCCAGAGCTTCCACTACCCGCGAGGACGTCACTCGAGGTTTTTCCTTTCCGACGGTCACAGTTACGTCAGCTCCGATCCTTTTGATGTAGTCCAACCTCTCCTGGCTGATGTCTGGAGAATAGATCAGCCCCAAAGGAGAGTTAAAGAGATAAAGTAAGTAAGTAAGTAAGTAAGTAAGTAAGTAAGTAAGCAAGCAAGCAAGCAAGCAAGCAAGCAAGCAAGCAAGCAAGCAAGCAAGCAAGCAAGCAAGTAAGTAAGTAAGTAAGTAAGTAAGTAAGTAAGTAAGTAAGTAAGTAAGTAAGTAAGTAAGTAAGTAAGTAAGTAAGTAAGTAAGTAAGTAAGTAAGTAAGTAAGTAAGTAAAGTTTATTCAGTGTTAAAGGCCACTGGCCCAAATCATATGACATAAAACACTCACTTGATAAGTAAAGAATAGATACAGGATGTGCCCACATATCTCTTATCATGGGTCAAACATTGCACATTTGTGTCAGGCTGGAAGGGATTAACAATTTCCTTTGAGGGACAAAGTTTGAACAATAGAAAATAAAGTGAAATTCATCTTCATTTTCATGACAGTTACACCTCTCACATAAGGGCGAATTAGTTAATTTCCATCGATAGAGATTGTTATTTAATGGAAGGCTATGGGTTTTTAGCAAAGCTATGACTCTTCTGCTCCAACATCGTGGGAGGTTCGTGATATATTCAGCTGTTTCTTGAAACGGAATAGCAAGAGAGAAAACATTATACGTGCGACAGACTTCTTCCTCTATGTTCAGCACAGAATGATCAACAAGTCTACTTTTTACTTCACTGAGAAAGAGTCTAGTACTTCCAACATTTTGAGAAAACCAGACATATCCAAAACCCAGGGAAAATAATAGGTTTTTAACTTCCGTAGCCGAGTTGACTCTGCCCAGTTCACAGGAACGATATAGTTGCACGTAATATTTCTTTGGATATCTGTCATTTTCTAAGTGTATAAGAGTGCACCAGAATTTAATGACACAATACATGTAATCAGAACATAAGATAGTTCTTCCCACTTCTCTTAGAACTAAACATTTGGGTGTAGTTTTGCCAAGACACCAAAAGGCTTTCCCGAACTTAACCTGAACATTATCAATCACGTCCCAGTTTTTAGGTATCCCAAATTTCAGATAAATAAAGCAGCATTGGCTTAATCTTTATATCAAAACTGTTTTTTGCTGTTTCGAAATTTAATTCTTGGTAAGAACCGAAAAGCCGTCTTGTTCGAGAAACAATCCGTTGAGTAAAGAGATAAGTAAAAAGGATAAAAGCGGTGAGTCATTGAGTAAGGAGAACATTGGGGAATGTGTGTCACTCACTTCATTTGTCCCCCCCCCCTTTTTTTTAAACGTCGCTCTAAAATTCTGTCTTCTTTACGCTCTATCTCTGTCTCTTCCACCCCCCCCTTTCTCTCTCTCTCTCTCTCTCTCTCTCTCTCTCTCTCTCTCTCTCTCTCTCTCCCTCTCTCTCTCCCTTCCTCATCCCGTTCTCTCTGTGTCTCTGTCTCTGTCTCTGTCTGTCTGTCTGTCTGTCTGTCTGTCTGTCTGTCTGTCTGTCTGTCTGTCTGTCTGTCTGTCTGTCTGTCTCTCTCTCTCTGTCTCTCTCTCTTTCTCTCTCCCTTCTCTCATTCTCAACCCCCTCCATATCCATAGCTCTTTGCAGTTACAGGTATGTTTTGTTTATCAGTGTATATTTGTGAGAGTTGGGTTGAGGGTTGAGGATAAGCGTAGCGCTAAAAACATGTACTAAAACACCACTAATTTAGACGTGTTAAAAACAAAACAACTGCTATTACCTGTTTACCAAGAGATGATTATCGAATCAATTACACTATTAAAATAGCCCTGGGGATCGACAATTGAGGTTATAAATGATAGGGTAACGATTAGTGGCAGTACAAATGTACTTCCACACTTTAGGGGAAATCTTTGTTGGCGTTATCGACTTCAGTACACACACACACACACACACACACACACACACACACACACACACACACACACACACACACACACACACACACACACACTGAGGGAGAGAGAGAGAGAGAGAGAGAGAGAGAGAGAGAGAAAGAGAGAGAGAAGAGGGAGAGTACCTGCTCGCTGTATACTCTCACCCTCCTTCTCTCTCTCATTTCTATATCTCCTTCTTTCTCTCTCTCTCTCTCTCTCTCTCTCTCTCTCTCTCTCTCTCTCTTTCACACACTCTCTCTCTCTCTCAACTTTACAATGGTACACATTTGTGTTTCCATTGTTTTGCTGCAACAATTCCACTTACCTGTGACACAGATTTTGGCTACACCTCTTGCCTTGGCTGCCAAGACCACGGCCATTCCCAAAGGTCCTGAAAACACCACAATTATTGCTTTATGTTGATATTGCTTTGGCCTAGTACAACCCACGCTCACATTGTACTCAAAAGGAAATATAGAGACGCAGAGTCCGGAAAAAGGGGCTTTTGCGTTTAAGACAAGGACATCAAAGGTTATAGGTTAAACCCTTTGAGTTATGAGAAATAACAATATATCAGACAATAACGCCATTTAGCTAAGACAGTAGTAAAATAATAAAGTGAATATCTGACTACGAGCCATCATTGAATTAGTACAAATATGGCTGTACTCTGTCCTGGTGTTTAAAGAAAGTCTGTATATTTTAAGTACCCCATTTAAAGATTGATACGGTTGAAATTGTCCAGGACAGCCACCCATTGTCGAGGAAAAAAATTGTTGTCCCAGACACATGATCGTCTTGGAGAATACCATTATGATATTATAGAAAAACGCAAGGGAGAGATTGGAAATGGTCGTTGGTTAGTGCGATTTCTTGGACAACAACAACAGTAACAACAATAACAAACTGCTTTCCTTGTGTTATGAGTGACATACTGCAAAGTACTTGACTTATGGAGAGTAATCCCCAGACTCATCATGTGTCACTCACCAGCGCCACAGACGAGCACGTAGTTGCCCACACTGACATTTCCACGCTGACAAGCGTAGAATCCGAGCGCCAAAGGTTGCACCAGTGCGCCTTCGTCAAAACTCACGTTGTCTGGAAGTCTGGGGACCGATCAGACAGACAGACAGAGATACAGACATTGTTTGCTGTCAACATTCAGGTTCGAGGTCTTTGTCTGTGTCGAGAGGCCACAACTCTCGCCTCAATTTAACAGTAAAAGAGTAATCTCCGGTTCTTTAACGGTAACTTAAAGTGTTGCAAAATCACATCAGACATTGAAACAAAGGTTTGAATGTTTGTTACTCTTGGTCGCCTCTTTCGATGACAAAAAAAGAAAAAAGAAAAAGAAATCATAAACAAAAGCTGAAACAAAAAACTCCGCATCCCACCGAACAAAAGCACACCAAAACAATACTATAGTTGCTTCATTACATCAAGATTCAAATCATTAAAGTTGTTTTTAAAAATCTATCTATCTATCTGTCTATCTATCTATCTATCTATCTATCTATCTATCTATCTATCTATCTATCTATCTAAAAAGTAAACCAAAAAAAATCTTTAAAAAAAAACAAATACTGGCGCTGATATGACCTTATGCAGTTGCGAGTGCCGTAAAACTCTTACTAAAACTAAACTAAAAAAGCAAATGTCACAGTCAACAAAGTGTCAGCGATATTTGCCTCTATAATAAACGTTTCTTCTCCCCACTCCACTCCCTTTTACAACAGCAGAAAAGCCGTATATCCTCATGAATGACAAAAACCTATTCATCGAATTTTAACTCTCAAATATTATATTTTCTCTCTAGAAATAATTATAGAAATCCGATTCCCCACAGGGCCTGAATTTTGTATTCTTTCCTCCTGTTGATTTAATATAGGAGGAATCAATTTCAATCAGCTAAGCCAAACATGATTACATAGCTTTTTTAAGAAGCCTGTATTTAATCTCTGCTTGTTCTTAAGATGCTAATCTCTCTTCCACTAATGAGATCTCTCTCTCTCTCTCTCTCTCTCTCTCTCTCTCTCTCTCTCTCTGTATTAGCCTGCCTGTACGTGTCTTTCTTCCTGACACCCTAAGTTCACCCTTCTATCTCTCTAGAAGTGGATTATGAAGCCGTGGAACAGAAAATTTAAATACATGAAGTTCAAATAAAAGAAATATTCCGATTTTCACGATATTTTCTGTTTCCGTTATTCATCTTAGCATTTATCATTGCCTCAAACAACAGGAAGAACAACGGGGGATAAAGATATGACATATACA